TTCTGTACTTCGTTCAGTTACGTATTGCTGAGTAGAAATGAAATTTTAGCAAAATGTTTAAATTTGTTGACTAAATTAAAATACCAAACAGCTCTTCATTATACTTTATAGAGCAAATGATTGGCATAGTCTGTAAGGCAAGTTGGCTTTGAATTTGACAGTTCCAGCAGGCTTTTCAAAGTTAATTTTATTAGGTTAGCAACTTGCAGCCATGCTGACACAATGCCGTCTCTAATGAAACAGCCTCGGAGCGAGATTTATGACGTCACGCTAGTAAGATACTACGGATTAATAAATGTTTTGTAGAATACATGGAAAACATAATTATTCCTCGTATTTTTGGTTTGTATTTTTAAAAATGAAGTACAGTTTACATTTAAATATTATTATATAATTAATTTTAGTGTTAAAAGAAATAATAATTTTAAAATATATGGTCATCTTTTGACAAGTTTATATTAGTTTATTAATTGCAGTAAACATTTATGTGGTGTTAGGTTAGGTTGTGGAAGATATTTTATATGTAATTTTGTTGGATTATATTCGACACTATTTTTTTCATATGACCCAACACTGATGAAGGCTATAATGTTAGCCGAAACGTTTTTTAAACCAAAAATAATGAAAAACCAAATGAAAACTTAATCAGCGTTTTCCAGACCTAAATCCCAAAATCAAAAATTTGGAATAATTTTACATATAAAATGACGTCTTTATTTATAGCCATCGCTGACGCCTTTTTTTTTTTTTTTGTATTATTTGCAAAATATAATTTTTCGAACATAAATACCTACTTGCAAAATATACATATAAATTTGTCAATGCAAATAATAATACATCACTATTAGTAGATATTGATTTTTTTTTTTTTTTTTTTTTTTTTTTTTTTTTTCTAAAAATTTAAAATATATTTTTATATTTCACCCATTATCTTAATATTTACCTATTCATTATTGTATATTGTAGAAACATTTGCTGCATTTGTATAGTATGTTTATTTATGAGTATTTATTACTATAAATAGGTGTATATTATTATTCATTAACTGTATATTATGTACATATTTTTATGTAAACTATATCATTTTAAAATACAAACCAAAATACGAGGGAATAATTATGTTTTCCGTGTATTCTACAACATATTTATTAATCCGTATTATCTAACTAGCGTGACGTCATAAATCTCGCTCCGAGGCTGTTCTAATAGAGACGGCATTGATCTATAACAGATATTTTATTTAGATTTAAATGCAAAAGTGGATTTAAATGATGATTTTAGTATCGCCTTGTTGGTCACATTGCGCCAATGTTCAGCTTTCAATCTTGTCGTGTATTAATATGAATTATCCTAGTGTGTCACAGTCGGTATTTTACAGCTATAATATCAGTGTTGTTGAATTTTTGGAAAATTCTCGTTTTGCCTTTTTTTACAGTTTTTTCTTAAATTTGGCACTTCTAAAGCACAAACAGTTCTTTTAAGAACTAAATTTTCAGATTTTTACTGCATTTTTGAAATTGTGGATTGAAAATATGCAGAAGCATTTAAACAGTCAAAACAAAGAGCTTGTAGCATCCCTGATAAACTATTTTTGGGCGAGAGTGGCAATAGGGGTCCTTTATTACCCTTGAATGCAGTCAAAGTAAGATTGATTAGTAAGCTTGTTATGCCACTTTCAAGTTATTTCTACTTATTTCAATTTGTAGCGAGTAGCTGCTGCTAAGCCAGGTCTCATGCACCCGAAATCCGATGACACGACGATCCGACGGGTGCTCCTATTGGTTGAAATGTTGACACCAATTTTTATCCGATATTTTAACTAATTGTCCGACGTCGTATAAAGTTAAATTTTGTTTTAGCGGAAATATCGTGTGTTTTAACCTCACTTTTTTGAAAACATTGGTTTCTAAAATCAAGTTTAGTGGAAAGTGGGCAATTTCGGGATATTTGGCGAGGAAGTTATTTTTAAGTGTTTCTCAATAATACATGGAATAATAAATAATAATGCAATATAAATAAAATAAAAAAAAAAAAAAACTGTCAAATTTCGGAACAAACTTTCGGATATATGTAACAGGCTTTTTTATTTCACACGATAACTTCAAATTTCGGATGTCGTACCATCGGGTTTCGGATGCATGAGACTCCGGCTTTAAAATTATATAGTGAATATATTGTTTGTCACTTTAAATTAAGATTCGTCCTTAAAGGCATTAGAATTCCCGCCCTCAAATTACGAATGAGGCGTTTTTGAGAGTTTTTTTTTTTAAAAATGGAAAATATTTAAAATTTCTATATATGCAATTCTGTGGCTAAAGTGTTCTGAGGAAAAACATAATATTTTCACTAACAAATGAAAATAAACATTTATTTCTCTTACCGTAACATTTATTTTATCCGTCTCAGAAATAAGAGAATATCCTCTGTAAACCTGAATCTTATTCTCTGGACTGGAAACCAACGGAAAAAACGGCTGATTGTTTTTCCAGTGAGCCACAAATAGGGGTGTACTGGTGTAGCACAGTTCAGTACTATCCTTATTGGGGTGTATGTAGCACTGTTGCAAAGTTCTCTTGTCCGATCCTATTAGTAGAATGTAGAATGTTTTTTTTTTTTTTTTTTTTTTTTTTTCGAAAATTTTTGCAGAGGAAAAAAATTAGTATAAAAAATACAAGTATGTGTCAGCGAGAGCATTGAATAAGAGTTAAGGCGGCTTTATACGCATCCGTCGTTCCGTCACTCAAATCAGGTTGCAGTATGGTATGTAATTTTCATTACTAGTTAACGGAGAGACATAACAATATACGTTACGCGGACGATACCATTGTGTACGCTGTTTCCCTCGAAGGTCTCCAAAACTGATAAATCGACAAACAAACAAGTTCATGGTAATTAGTAAATATAACATACAACCCGGTCAACTGGTAACCAATACTCGACCAATCTAATATGGTACATCTCAGAGATGGTATCTCAGAGATGAGACCTTAGATTGAAAACCTTAATAACATCAACTTGTAGATCAGAAATAGAAGCAATAAGAATGTAAATATATGTCATATACCGTATGAGCGAAAAGACGAGGTCCAGTTGGCTGGGAAAATGACGATCAATGACATTTCCATAGATTTATATAAAAGACAGCGATTTTCATTTTATAGCCTTCGCTGACGCGCTTTTTTCGATCATGCAGTATTTTAAAATAGACTAAGAATAATAGTATAAATGAATTACTAACATTTAATAAATAAATATCTCTTTAACATCTATAGACAAACAAAGTATATGTAAAAGTAGCACTTACCTTACTTTTTAATCTCATGCAAAGTTTCCTTCTTTGGAACATTCCAAAAATATATTTTACCCTTCTCGGTGCTAAAAATCAGATAATTCAAATCTGAAGTAAGCGCCAGACACAAGCACTGCTCTTCTGGTTCCAAATTGAGGTTATGATCCTGTGGTTTCTTCGTATTGACGTTCCACAGCCTGATATTGTTGTGACTCACCGCTATTATCTCCTGTTTACCAAAGGGAGAAAATGCCTTAACCTTGTAACAAAAGAAACAATAAATAAGTAAATCTGAAAAAATATACATAATACTAAAAATATTGCAAAATCTGGATATATCGCATAAAGCAGAAAAAATATATAAAATACCAAACAGTTGAAATCCATAGACTCAAATAAAAAACGGTAAATATGTCTTGTAAGTGGATAATCTTTTCACGCACCTTACAATTATCAAGAAAAAGATTGCCTTTCCTGCGTGAAACGTTAATCAACAATTACTACGATTACTATGGGAGTTGAGCTAATTTGTCAAACTAAAAATTCGGTACAAAAGCTAATTAATAAAGCTCATAACTATTTCACGTTTTTTAATTTGTAATCTTAATAAGTAAAATGTTTTTTAATATTTCCCTAAATTATAGATATAAAAATCTTGATGATGAAAACGAGATGTTAGTTAGAATAGTTCCCCCGTGAGTAGAACCGTAATGATTACTTACCTTGTACTTGTTGTATAAAGCTGATGAGTACTCAGCTTCAATCTTGTTGTTCTTGGTTGTGAATTTGTATATATTGATCAGATCATCATAACTGAAAATGACGTCACGCGATGACAGATGTACGCAAGAAATTTCATAACCTCTGGGTCCGATTGAACACACTTCTTTGCCAGTATCCAAATCCCAGACGACACAGCACCCATTTTTGGAGCCTGTGACTGCGTAAGGAGGTACGGGAAAGGAGGTGGCGAAAGCCGCGGAGACCAAATGGTCGTTTTTTTGAGTTATCTCTTTCTTGGGTTGAATTTCTCCATTATCCGGGCTGAAGAGGTCTTGCCAGTTGCTTTGAGTCGTTTTTGGCGATCCTAACCATTATTTTTGGATATTAAAAAATAATATAGAACTATTGAATAAACAGTATAAGGGGGGAGAGTGTATGAGAGGTGTGCAGTTCATAAACGAACTAGTTCCAATGAACTATTCCGACCCCGGAATGAAAGGAACTAGTTCCTGGTTTCTCAAAGAACTAGTTCCTCGGGACCTATTCCGGGATCGAGACTGTGACCGATATATAACAAAATATGCGACGGTGACGGATCGGCCAGCGCGCGTAGCCCGATGCTAGGCAGGAGCCCGATGCCAGCCGTATTGCCGTATGTTATCGGATCCGGACCTAAAGGAATTAAATAAAAGACTAGTTTACGTACGGATCGGCCAGCGCGTTTGATGCTAGGCAGGCGTGGGGAGTACCAACCGTTTGTTATCGGATCTGGACCTAGAGGAACTAATTAAAAGACTAGTTCACGGGAATCTATTCAGTCGGCAGATCCGAGATATAATACAAGGCGAGGACAATGGATTCAGCCTTGCCTATTACCACAACCGCAGCCGGCGTAATTACCTAATATTCATCGGATATACGATTTGCTTGTGATTGGTGTCATTTTATATTTTCATTTCCATAACGATTTCGCTGTTTTATTTATAGTCTAAGAGCTAGCAACGTTTTCGAGAGAGAAATTTAAGAAAGCTTGTTCTTTAATATATATTTTGCTATGCTCTCCTGAACAGAGTGCGGACTGTCTGGCTGCCAGTAGACGTTGCATTCACTACTGCGCATCCCCATATCTGTATTCAACATCTGCCCACTACTATGCATCGCAAATTCGCCCTGTATTTCTGAAACTAAGGAGGCTAGGACAAACCTATGTGTAGCATATTTAGTTTTATAAAAAAGTAGCAAAATAATGTGAAATTCGCATCATTATATGTCTGCTCATAAACGAGAAATCCCATAAAACATACGAAAATGAGATACCCTGTACAGATGTAATGCGCAGTAGTCTACCGGCAACCAGACGGCCCACACTATGGTCAGGAGAGCGTAGCAAAAGATATATTAAAGAACCAGCTTTCTTAAAATTCTCGTTTTTCCGACGTTGCTAGCTCTTGTACTATTATATTTTTATAAAGGTTAGATTAAATATGTCAAAAAAGTGTCAAAACGTCCGTTATCGTAGATCTTTCTCCGTTGACGGGCTGGAGTAAAAAATTTACGGATAAAAGTGGCGCGAAAACGCTATGACCAATCAGAGCGCCGTCGGACCATATCGTATCAACTGATAATGGATGCATAAAAATCAGGCTTTTTGCATAGTTTAGTTGAAAGTTAGTAATAAAAAAATTATATTTACCTATGGATTCTATGCTGTTTCTTCTGTCATCAGAAAATTTCCAAAATTTCACCAAACCTTCCGAACCAATTGACAAAAAATGACTTTTATCCGGACTAATAATCAAATTTTTAATGGGTGATGAATGACCAGCAAAACTTGATATTTCTTTCTCATATCTCTCATAAAATAACTAAAATAAAGTAAATTTTATTTTTTAAAGCTATGTCTGAGCCTCAGACAAATAATAAAAAAATAGTCTATCCAAGGAGGATACATTACTTATCCATTAAAATAAGTCCTCCATTCAATACCTTAATTTTTCCACTGGAGAATCCAAGAAGGATATGCTTAACAGAATTGACAAAACAGGCACAGGTTATGTCATCTCGTATGTTGATATTCTGGAACTCGTCTAAATCTTCACTCACCGACCGACTAAAAAAGTAAAATATATTTTGCAAGAAACTTTTTGCAGTAAAAATAACGATGTTAAACTAACAAAATTACAAAATTCAATATTTACATAAACTTGAAGAAAAGTCTGGGAGAAGTCTTGGCATAAGCTACGGCAGTGTCGTAAATACAGGAATCTTTTTTCTCCTGCAAAGCGTATTGTATAATACTGGTTTTAGGAAAGTTATACAGATTGGCACCGTGTTTTCTTATAAATTCTTTGTAATGGTTTAGTTTGGTATCTAAGGCAGCATCCTGAAATAAATATAATTTACATATTGCTAATGAGTCGTGTTATCAATAAACAGATTTAGGTTATAAAGTTTCAAAAAAAGTTTTGCATTATTGTGAAGTCAGACACTTTTCAGAAAACCCTCGTATAGTATGGCAACGGCTAGTGTTGTAATAGATAACGTTCCCGTTTATATTCTTTTAGCAAAGACCTACTATAATATTAGTGAGTTTTTTGTAAAAAATGTTAAATTTTATTAATATGTAGGTATGTATTATTTTTATATTTTTATTGTATCGTTTTCTTATTTTTTGTATTTATTTGTATATACCGGGTGTTCCTCAAAAGTGGCTCACACCTATAACATTTTTATTTTTTGTGATAAAAAAACGAGATTTGGTATGTTAGTATATGACATAAATTAAGATTGATTGACGTATTAAATTGTTTTCGGTCACTTAAATTGTTTTTCGCACCCTCCGTATTTTTTACTTTATTCCATAGAAAATGACACTCTGAATAGAATGACATCTTTTAAGCGGTTAGGACAAGACACTAAAAACATTAGATGATCAAATCTATTTTTCCAAGGCTCCTTGATTAAAAATTAGGTGTTTTAACACAGCCATGGCATTCTAGATTGAAATTTAAAATACAATTTTTTTAAGCGACAATGTCAAAAGTTGGCATATGATATGTCATTCTATTTAGAGTGTCATTTTCTATCAAATAAAGCAAAAAATACCAAGGGTGCCATTTAAAAATTAAAAGTTGTAGTAATTTCAGGTGAAACAAAGAGTGTAGTAGTTTAGGCTTTCGCGGCCATCGTATGAAGAAATATGGTTTTTCGGGTTTTTATTTAATGGAAAATTTACCATGGAAACCGAAGAAAACAACCAACTGGCCTTTCTCGATGTGCTTGTCAAGAGAAATGGAGACCATTTGGATCACACGGTGTATCGAAAACCCACTCATACAGACCGGTACTTGCACAAACTGTCAAATCACCATCCAAGCCAAAAACAGGGGATTATCGGAACACTAGCAAATAGAGCAAGACGCATTTGTGCTAAGGATCACATACAAGAGGAACTAAGTCACTTAAATAAAGCCTTTCTTGCTAATGGGTATAATGAGAAAGAAATAAAGGCGGCGCTAGCACCTAGGCAGAGGAGACTTGACGTCAATGAACAGAATAACACCGTTAATAAGGCCTTCCTTCCATATGTCTCCCAGGTCACCGATAGGATTGGAAAAGTTCTCAGGAAACACAACATCAAAACAATATACAAACCTACCCGGAAAATAAAGGACTGCTTGAGGCCAGCCAAAGATAAAAGGGTACCATTATCCTCTGCAGAGATCTACCGTATACCTTGTTCCTGCGGTAGCGTATACGTTGGAACTACCAAACGGTCAGTAGGAACGAGACTTACGGAACACAAGAGAAGCTGCAGGTTAGGGCAAACAGACAAGTCGGCCGTAGCAGAACATGCTCTAAGAGATGGTGACCACAAAATCCAGTTCGAAGACATCCAAGTCATTGCCACAACATCTGGATATCATCCTCGTCTGGTCAGGGAAGCTGTTGAAATTCACAAACATCCAAATAATTTCAACAGGAAGGAAGAAACTCTCTACCTAAACAGAATTTGGCATCCAGCTATATCTAGGACCAAGGTAGTAGTACAGAGAAGTAGACCAGTTCCAGAAGAACCACCACCGGAACAAGCCACGCCCCTTCCGCCGACGCATAAATACGCGCTACGCCGACGCGGAGGCATCAGTCTAGCGTGAGCAATCGGAGCAAACACACCTCTGAGGATGCTAGCCACTCGTGTTAGCGAAACGTTAGAAAGCAATTCTAACCGACGACGGCCTAAAGACCCGGAAAACCAAATTTCTTCAAACAGAGAGTGACCGAAAACAATTTAATACGTCAATCAATCCTAATTTATGTCATATACTAACATACCAACTCTCGTTTTTTTTTATTTGAAAAAATAAAAAAGTTATAGGAGTAAGCCACTTTTGAGACGCACTCGGTACACCCGGTGTTTCTCAAAAGTGGCTCACGCCTATAACTTTTTTAATTTTTCAGATAAAAAAAACGGATTTTCAGAAGAAAAAAGGAGAAATTGTCCAAAAATATAATTTCAAGTAGTTACCAACACTAGTAACGGCCAAATATAATTTTGGAACACTTCTTATTTTTTAAGTTAAATAAATGAGCGTTTTATATAAGCAGCTCAAAATTTACTTACCTTCCCCGTAATCAAGTCTCTGTATGTCTCCATATCTGTCAAGACGTCATCTTTACCCACAGCCCTGATTTTTGCTTCCAAAAACTCCAAATTAAAATACATTTCAAATTTTGCAAATTCCCGAGCTTCGGACATATGATAACCGATAAAATGAAAACTGTAGTTATCATCAGGCAATTTGGCATAATTCCCATCAATCAGCAAATCATAATTATCAATCAGCCTCTTGTGAATTTCGTGGATATGATCCTTCGTTTCTTCTTTCAGGTATTTCAAATGGATATCGTGCACTCCATAAATAAACCTTTGTTGGTTACTATGATAAAATGGCACAACTAAAGATTTTTGTGCGAATTTGTTCATGGTGTGCATCACGTCGGTTATGGTGGTGTTCCAAAGAATTTTTAGGACTTCTGGAGGTATGTTCACGTCCTGCATGAATATAGCCAGGTCCATATATCGGGATTTTAGCTCTTTCCTACTGAGGAGTTGGTCTACGCATGTCCTGATCTTTTCGCTGGGAATTCTGACGTCGTCATCAAAATCGTTTAACCTAAATTTTAGAGATGCGTAAAAAAATAATACAAGCTACAATATAATCAAAAATATACAGAGTGATCCGAACTGTATTCCGGAAACTTCGGCAGCATATTTTGCAGATAAAAATAAGTAAAAAAGTTCGTATAAATGTATGTCCCAAAAATGCTTAGTTTCGGAGATACAGGGTATAGAAGTTGCATTTTTATTTTGACTTTTTCCAAATAATTTCTGAAGTGACGTCAATATTTGGATGAAAATTGGTGTCTGGGAGTTTTTTGACATGAGAAATTTGATTTTGATGTCAATATGGCTCCCATTTGTAGGGGGCGCCACCTACGTGAGTTTTAACTGTTTTGAAGAGTAATAAATTTTCGTCCGTACCTGTATAAAACTACTGAGTGAAAAAATAATACATCTTCGTGACTTTTTATGTAAAAAAAGTATTTTTGTTAAAAGCTCTACGAGCAACCGTTCTTAAGATATTTAGAATGGAAATAGTCAATACATGCCATTATTGACAAAAAATAAACACTTTGAGTAGATAGTTGACTGAAAAAATAAATTTGAAAATTTTTTATTTTTTTAAATTAATCGTAAGCTTTTCTGCGAAAAAAATATGATAAAACAGTTTCTATTGAACTTTTGACACAAAAACGTTTCAAATTTATGATTTCAGTCTAATAACTATTTAGTCAACATGATTAATTTATGTGAATGCTGACAGGTATTGATAATTTCGATTCCAAATATCTCGAGAACCATTACTCGGAACGATTTTTACCAAGAGACCTTTTCAACGTAAAAAACGTCGTAAATGTATATTCTTTTACTTACTTGTTTTATACAGGTACGGACAAAAAGTTACTACTCTTTAAACCAGTTAAAAAATATGTAGGTGGCGCCCTCTACAAGTAGGAGTCATATTGACATCAAAATCAAATTTCTGCTGTCAAAAAACTCTCAGACACCAATTTTCATCCAAATATTGACGTTACTTCAGAAATTATTTAGAAAAAATCGAAATAAAAATGAAACTTCTACACTCTGTATCTCCGAAACTAACCATTTTAGGACATACATTCATACGAACTTTGTTACTTATTTTAATATGCAGAATATGCTGCCGAACTTTCCGGAATACAGTTCGGACCACCCTGTATATTATTTTAAACGCTTCATTCACGAATCAGTTCAGTCATTGGGGATTTTTGCTTGGAAAAAAGTCCGGAAGTTTTGCAACTTTGCAGGTTTATAGGTTTTGGGTCCCTAACTAAAATCCATAAAATGCACATTTCTAGACTTGCCGCCGGCGCCGCCATCTTGCCAAGATGGCGCCCAAAATCGGTATTTTGTGAATATCTCGAAAACTGCGTTTTTCGCGAAAATTTAAGAAGAGCAAAATTAAAGAGAATAAAATTTCCTATAAAAAAGGTTTTATGAAAATTTTCGCTAAAGTCAACCGTTTAGGCACAAAATCCCTGGAAATTTTACAATTTTGGGTAAAATATGACATAGTGGTATTATGTATAGGTAGTCGATTTTCCGAAATCAAATAAGTTTTAGTTTAGTTTCTTCAATTTTGTCATGAAACAGTGGCGTATCCTTAATTCGCTCATTAATTTATGAATAATTAATTTTAATTATTGAAAATGTGTACTTGTTTCCACACCACCCATGAGGTAAAGTACATGGCGCGTTTATTTATTTTAACGTTGTCTCTCGGGAGGCCTACTCTACTAGGTAAATTAAAAACTTAAACTTATCTGCACAAGCCCGATGGATCTCACTCATTGATGTCAAAGTCGATCGTGTCTGCTGTGCTGGGCTATCAGGGTGGTCTCTCAATACGTACAACTCTTCATCTTCAGCCGCCAGAGGGATATCTACAGGCAAGTCCAACTCCTCTTCATCGGATTGGTGGAGTGACACTTCAGTGACGTTGTCACAGGATTTTCCATTGCAGTATGCACAAATCATAGAACATTTTAATCCTGCTTTTCTGCATCCGCAGGCTTTACCACAGTTGTTGGTTTTGCATTTATAGGATAAAAATGCCAATAGGGATTTTGGAGCTAGATCTTTCAACGTTGTGACTGGAGTAATGCCTGTTTTTGTTTTCTTCCAACCCCATTCTTCGGCATCTTTGGTACAACCAGACCAATGCTGAACCTGGTGGTAAGTTCGCAATGAATGCTGTCCAGCACGACAATTAATTATTCATAAATTATTAATGAGCGAATTAATGATATACCACTATTTCATGACAAAATTGAAGAAACTAAACTAAAACTAGTTTTAGTGACACTAATCGAGATTTGATTTCGGAAAATCGACTATATGTATGTATATCATACTTTACGCAAAATTGTAAAATTTCCAGTGATTTTGTGCCTAAACGGTTGACTTTAGCGAACATTTTCGTATAACCTTTTTTATAGGAAATTTCATTCTCTTTAATTTTTCTCTCTTCAAATTTTTGCGAAAAATGCATAGTTTTCGAGATATTTACAAAATACCGATTTTGGGCGCCATCTTGGCAAGATGGCGGCACCGGCGGCAAGTCTGGAAATGTGCATTTTATGGATTTTAGGTAGGGACCCCAAAACCTAGAAATCTGCAAAGTTTCAAAACTTCCGGACTTTTTTCCAAGCAGACCCCTTTTTTGATCCCCAATGACTGAACTAAATATCTTATCTTTTCAGAAGCGACAGTAAGGAATGCTCGACTCCCAAATCGACGCCGCGTCGACTGAAAGTCTCTGAGCGTAAATGAGGTCTTAAGACCCCCATACACTTCGGATATTTTGCTCCGTTTTAACCGAACTGTTAGAAAGCACCAGAAAATCCAGAATAGAAGAAAATGGTACAATGCTCCGAAAAAATATATAAAGACCTGCTCGCGACACTGACTTGAATAAAATTGTGCGGTTTTGCCAGTTTATGTCCATACACTATCAGGTAGGAACAAATGGGTCGAACCGTATGGTTAAAATATCTATTAATTTATCTATTAAACTAATAAAATTATAACGGGCTATACAAGCGATAGAAAATTTCAGAATCAACTAATAGGCAATACGCCACGCAGTCGACTAATTTCTATGTTAGGATGAGTGTCTGGACAAGCGACTGTGGAATGTTTTTATATAGAGTACAGAGTACCTATTATATATGGCGCCTCGCGTTGGGCGCTAAATATAATAGTTGTATTGTTAAGTATTTTTTCACACATCTATCTATTAAAATAATAAATTATAACGAGTGATACATTTGATAGAACATTCACATACACTGACGATTTTAACTAAACAGTCGTACCCGTTCGGATAAAACCGTGTAAAATAAAAGGAAGTGTATGGGGACCTTTAAACTCATTTTTATACTGAAAAAAATATGTACGATTTTATTATATATTTTACTGATTTTTTGTTAAATACACGGAGAAAAAATATTTCTTTACATAATTTTAATTTTGTTGTGACGTTATAACGCTTTATTTTTTAATACATTTAGTGGTTACAAATTGAAAAAAATATAATTTAAAATACAATTATAAACATACTTATAATAAATAATGAAGGAAATATATAAAAAAGAAGGAAAAAAAATAATCAGCCTAGCCCTCAACAACTCGAAATCGTGTACACTGGTGTATACGGTTACGAGTGGTTTATCCTGATTGTCCTTCTATAACAAATAACACAGAAAATATTAACCAGAGATGGGAATTTAAGCATCTGCCCCTAACATTTTTTTATGTATGAAGTACTAAGATAAAAATAAAATATGTAAAAAATAAAAAGAACTGGCACTTCTCTTCCATCTTAACTTAATACTTAATCACTTCAGCATAAATTCTGATTTTAATACAAAATTAAAAATAAACAATTTTTAATTTTGTAAATGACCAAACAAGGCCAAATGTAGAATAAAAGTTATTATCAAAAACAGTCTTTTTAAAACATCTACTATTTTGAAAGAGTAGTTATTTTTTTCTTTAATAAAATGTTTATTATATGTAAAAATTATTTTTTTACATTAGGGCTTGTTTCATACATTCATAATTATTGATATTAAACAGCAACTAATAAAAATTTACCAAATGGCGGTCACCAAAATTAGAGTAAAAAAATACAAATAAACCCAATTAAAATTTGGTCATTGGTCCAAAATTACCCATGTCTCTTCTGTATAAATCTAGGGAGTTTATTTAGATAAGTTTGTGAGACTATTCTATAATTATATAAATAATTAAAAACTTGTACCAACTAACCTGTAATCTCCCTTTGAAAACATAAATCTAATATACTCCCATATTTGGTCATCGTTCATGCTAAAAACTGTCTTATTTTCTGACAAATAAGAACCAATTAAAGCTATGAGCATGGGATGGCCTTTGCAAGTTCTGAGCAATACGTAACTGAACGAAGCATACTGAT